TGCTACCTCCAGACGGTTAAGCGCATCCACCACCACTTGCGGCAGTGGTAACCTCAGTTCACCCTTCAAAACTTCCTCATAAAGGGAAAACTCCCCTGGCCTGGCGTCAGACGGCCTTTCCGTCGCTGTTGGTAGCAACAACTCCACTTCCCCAGGGATCTGGTATTTTTTCGCGGATAGCCTCCAACTCCGCCTCAGTAATCGTGGATTTGTCAACTTTTGTGTGCCAATGATCTGGTTCCGCCTGGCTGATTGGCTTTTGAGCTGCTATCATGGTAGAACCGTGGGATCGTACCACCGACTCCTCCACCCTCTCTGTCCTATACTGCGCCGCTAGCTCCACAGCATCGTCATCTCCAAGCGGGTCCACCCTGACAATCGCACTCCCTTCTTCGGCCATTTCTGTGGTATGTTTGCGAATCGCTTCGGCGGCAGGAACAAGGAAATTGAAAAAGTGTTGCAGAGGTGTATTGTGAGCAACAAAGGAATTCACACTTGGAATATTTTGATTTTTCGTACACAAGTAGGTGAATCGAATAATGCCAAAAGCCCACGGTTTGCCCGTATTCCAAGGGTCCCAATTAATTTTCGCCAGTTTGAAAACGTTTCAAAATCATCCGCCAAAACTGTCTTTTCAACACCCATAATGACCTAACGTTTCGTTTCTGATCCAACGCCTAATCTTTCCCCCCCTACGGGATGTTGCCATGTGTACGACCACGATGCACTGTCCACTACCCTTACCCTGTCTTTTCTACTTCAAATCATCACTTGCCACGCCACCCCTTGAGCCCCGCGCCAATCCGCTCGGCCTTCTTGCGCGGTCACCCCTTTTCACAGTCGGCCCTTTAGCTCGGCCTTCCCGCGCGGTTGCATCTCCTCCTGGTTGCCCCTCTGCTCGGCCTTCGCGCGATCAGCCCTCCCCACGGTCGGCCTGTCCTCAACGGTCGGTCTTCTCGCGCGGTCGCCCCTCTCCACGGTCGGCCCTTTAGCTCGGCCTTCCCGCGCGGTCACATCTCCTCCCGGTCGGCCCTCCGCTCGGCCTTCGCGCGATCAACCCTCCCCACGGTCGGACCATCTTACGCTCGACTCACCAACTCGGCCGCCCATCCCGGTCGGACTCGTCTTCCTCATACATATTCCCTTCGCTGGTCTGAAGCTGCACTCGGGAATGGGGGACCACTGACATGGACAGACCCACAAAGGCCATGAACCACTATAAGCAACCCGAGCCCATCATTCGGGGCCCAATGCATAACCCAGTCGATGGAGTTCAGAACAGCTGGAATCCAATATGGCATCAAGAACCAGCGGCATTCAGGCACGTGGCAGATGAAGGACGAGCCACATCAGCAGACAAAAATCTGCAAAGTTATTGCCACTGCACATCACCATTAATGCAGCCTATCACAGCATTTATTATGACAACACCTCTCCGCCGGAACAGGACCCCCTTGCCCTGAGCAAGGTAAGCTGCAGCATAGGCTTTCGGTAAGGAGAGCAGGTCGGAAGGGACAACGAAATGATTGCCAAAGGATATAAGCGAACGTTGTAGACAAGAAAAAGGTTAAGCTTTCTATCTCTAATCTCTCCCTCTACGCATTACTTCTCTTCCTAACTTGCTCGTCGGAGAGTTCACTGGGGGACTATCCCGTTCCCCGTTGAACTTGCCTGCAGGTTATCCGGTGGGCTTAATCATTTGGACGCGGGCTTGAGGAGCTTGGACCTGCCCGATCCATTCACTGGGACGAACAACATTAACAACAATTAATATCATTCATAACTGATCTGATCTATATAAACCTAAAATTAAGCCTATCATAAAATAAAAATTAAACCTTATATCTAGATTCTCTCTGTATTTCATAATTAAATACAATTTTATTCCCAAATAAATTTAAGCATATCTATATTATATATAATTTTTTTAAAAAATCTCATAATTTATTATTTTTTATAATAATTTTGTGATTTATAATTTAGAAAATGAAAATAAATAAAAAAATTATTCTTGTGCACTCTTTCTTTAATCAATTCTTCGTTCTATCAAAAAATCAAAGCTATCATACATTATATTTTTTCCAAGTCATTCATGTCTTCATCGCCATAGAAATATTACATTCATGGAACGATGAATCTCATTGTTTTTTAACTTTCTTTTTATGAGACAATTTGGAGATTACTTTATGTTAAATCTATTGTGTTTTTTAAACATACTCTTTTATCATTTAGGTACACAATTTATTCTTCTTCTTCTTTTTTAATTTATGGCCATTATTTTTATTTTTTTTATTTCATATTTTTTGTGTCATTTCTCACTCATCTCTACCAACCATTGTCTGTTTTTTTGTTGGTTAATATTATTTTACTAGAATTTTTATACTAAAATGGCGTGATAGGATCATTTGTATAATTAACAAGAGGTCACTCATTATAAAGTGATAGATTAAAATTCAAACAAAATCATTATTAATAAGGTTTTTGTATTGATTTTATGTTTGTATATCATTATTTTTTTTAAAAAAAAAATTACTTTTAATATTTTTTGATATTATGATATTTGTTAATTGACAGTTCAGGCAGAACATTATTTCAAAGGCATATAATAGTTTTTCAAAGCTATAAAAAGAAAATTTTAATTTTAATCAATTTTTTCAAAACTATTAAAGGTGTTAGTCAATTATTTAATTATTTATCTTCAATATGTGTAGCTCATCTTCCTTGTTATTTGACAGTTCGTGCAGAACATTATTTTAAAGGCATATAATAGTTTTTCACAGCTATAAAAAGAAAATTTTTATTTTTATCAATTTTTTCAAAACTATTAAAGGTGTTAGTCAATTATTTAATTATTTATCTTCAATATGTGTAGCTCATCTTCCTTTATGGTACTTCTCTTTGTACTCCACTGAGAGTTCATTTTATTAATAAATCTTCAAATCAATTAACGATTTTTAATGATGTTAGAAATAGTTTCAATTAATAATTTAAATAATTTTATTATCATATAGAAGAGTAATTATGAATTTTATTTTTTTAATTAATTCTATTAAATATAAAATTTTAATAAGGGATATTTGTAATTTTTTAAATTACAAATGACAATTTATATTTTAAACAAATATTAAAAAGTGTATTTATAATTTATTTTTATTTTTTTAAAAGATCTGTAACTATATTGGGGTTGATTTCTTTCATATATTGATAAGATCCCCTAGATTTGTAACTATTTTGACATATATTAGATCTGTATGTGTGGATTTGTTTTTTTTTTTTAAATCATCATCCACTCCTACTGATGTGTTCTTCACTGCACCCATCTTCGGATTTCAGAAATAGAGAAAGAGGGCGAGAAAGAGGTAGGAAACATGAGAGAAAGATGGAGTGTTTACTGGTTAACTATTAGGTGAGTGGGTCTTCAAATTTAAGAAAAAACTTAGAAATTTAATTTGAAATCATAGGTGAGATTTATTGCTCACAACAAAGATTAATCTTTTTTTATTCCGTAAATTTTTATTATTATTTTATTTGAACTCTCTACAGCATTCCGTCCATATATTTTAAGATCAAAGCCTATCAGATAGTAGTGCTTGCAAATAACGCTTTCTGACCTTTTGCAGAGTCACCCGGCTCACTCACTTATATTCCTCCCTACAATTCATTTGATTTTGGGTTCATCCATGGCTTCTAAAAGAACCTTAGATCATTCTTCTTGTTTTCCAGCCCCAAAAAAGAGAAATGTTTCTTCTTGTTTTGTTTCTTCATCATCTTCAACACAATCTCGCTGGACCTATGACGTGTTCTTGAGTTTCAGAGGTGACGACACCCGCAAAAACTTCACCGATCATCTCTACGAGGCCTTGGTTCAAGCTGGAATTCGCACCTTCAGGGATGATGATGAACTTCCAAGAGGGCGTGAAATTTCTTCAGAGCTTCTCAAATCAATCGAAGGATCCAGGATCTCCATGGTTGTTTTCTCAAAAAACTATGCTTCTTCAAGATGGTGCCTGGATGAGCTCGTGAAGATCATTGAATGCAAGAAAACACTTGGACAATTACTTCTCCCAATATTCTATGATGTTGATCCATCTGATATACGGCACCAAACAGGGCATTTTGGAGAAGCATTTGGAAGACACCAAAAGCGTTTTGCGGATGAGATGGAGAAGGTGAAGGTGAAGGTGAGGAGGGATGCCCTCTTTGACGCTGCTAATTTATCAGGCTGGGATTTGCAAAATGTTGCAAATGGGTAACGTTTTAACATTCTTTTAATTTTTCTGCTGCTGCTGCTATCAATTTTTATCTTTAACTAGAAAATCCAATCCTTATTGTTTTTAATATTTTTTTTTTTTATAAAAAAATTCAAGTATAGTTAGTTCACTTTGTAAGCTCAAGATGTATTGAATTTTACATTTATTAAGTGCATATTGGAAGTGGGGTTTGTAAGGCTTTGTATTTTTGTGATATACACTTGGTTTACTTTTAATTTGGATCGAAATTGACAGGCATGAAGCAAAGTTCATCGGAAAAATTGTTAAAGAGGTTCTATGTGAACTGAAACATACATTCCTAAATGTTGCTGTGCACCCAGTTGGAATAGATTCTTGTGTTATACACATAAAGTCGTTGTTGAGCATTGGATCAGATGATGTTCGCATGATTGGGATATATGGCTTGGGTGGAATAGGCAAAACGACTATTGCAAAAGCTGTGTATAACCATATTTTTCTCCAATTTGAAGGGAGTTGTTTTCTTGCAAATGTTAGAGAATTTGCAGGACAACTCAACGGCCTAGTTCAATTGCAAGAACAACTTCTCTTTGAATTATTAGGGATAAAGAATCTAAAGATTGACAATGTTGATAGAGGAATGAATTTGATAAAAGAAAGGCTCTATTCTAAAAGGGTTCTCATTGTTCTTGATGATTTGGATCAATTAAATCAGTTAAATTCCTTAGCAGGAAACCGTGATTGGTTTGGTCCAGGAAGTAGAATCATCATAACAACTAGAGATGAGCACTTGTTGAAGGGACTGAAAGTTCATGAAAGATACATGGCTAAGAAATTGAATCACAAAGAGTCTCTGCAGCTTTTCAATTGGCATGCTTTTGGCGAAACCAATCCATTAGAAAATTATGCAGATCTTGCAAATGGTATAGTAAGTTATGCTAGTGGGCTGCCATTAGCTCTTGAAGTTTTGGGTTCTTATTTGTTTGGAAGAAACATGGTGGAATGGAAAAGTGCATTTGATAAGTTACAACAAATTCCTCATGAGAAAATTCAAGAAAAACTTAGGATAAGTTTTGATGCACTAGATGATAACATAAAGGATATCTTCCTTGATATTGCATGCTTTTTCATTGAAATGGACAGAGAGTATGTCATTACTATATTGAATGGTTGTGGTTTCTTCGCAGAAATTGGAATTAGTGTTTTGATTAGTAGATGTTTACTGAGAATTAGTGAAAACAATAAGTTGATGATGCATGATCTAGTTAGGGACATGGGAAGGGAGATTATTCGTGAAAAATATCCCAAGGAGCCTGAAAAACGCAGTAGATTGTGGCTTCATGAAGATGTATGCTATGTACTCCAAAAAAACAAGGTAAGAGTTGAATTTTAATTCTTTCTAGTGAGTTAGTAAGTTTTAGACTTGGAATGCTAATTTCAGTTATTTTATAGTCTTTCTTCCTTTTAATTTTCCATTTTGTTTTTAAATATTACTATTTTAGGGAACGGAAGCAGTCGAAGGTGTGATCCTGATCCTACCCATGTTAAAGAAGATACAATGGAGTAATAAAGCATTTGCTAGGATGCCTAAGTTAAGACTGCTTCAAATAAATCATGTGCACCTCAGTGGAAATTTTGAACATCTATTTGAAGAGTTAAGGTGGCTCTGTTGGCATAACTGCCCATTGGAGTATTTACCATCCAATTTTCATCCAGAGAAACTTCTTGTTTTAGACATGCAATTCAGCAGATTTAAAACACTTCGGATAGATGGCAAGGTATGACATTCTTAGCAAATTCATTGTTGTTTGGTATTTGGATAAATTATTTAGTGGATCTTGATGAAAAAAAAAATTATATAATTTTGTATATTTTTATTGGTTTAACAGCACTTCAAGAGCTTGAAAATTCTAAATCTCGGTAATTCCAAATGCCTAACAAAAAGCCCCATCTTCTATGCACTACCGATGCTCAAGGAATTATTGCTTGAAAGTTGTACAGGTTTAATGGAGCTCCATGAATCAATTGGGCTTCTAGATAAACTTGTTCACTTGAATTTGAAAGATTGCATGAACCTCAGGTATCTTCCAGGCATTATTTGCAAGTTAAAGTCTGTTAAACATCTAAATCTCATTGGTTGTGCAAAACTAGAGGAGTTTCCAGAGCACTTGGGGCATATGGAAAGCTTAACAGAGCTTCTTGCAGATGGAACAGCTATTAAACAACTACCTTTCTCTATTGGACTACTAAAGAATCTTAGGAGCTTATCGTTGAAGGGATGTAATAGGCAATTCACAATTAAATCCTGGTTTTCTCTTATTTCATCTTGGGTTTTACCGAGAAAAAATCACGACTCCATAAGATTGTTACCATCCTCTATTTCAGGTTTGTGTTCCTTAACAAAGCTAGTTCTTTGTGATCGTAATCTGTCTGAGGGAAATTTTCCAGCTAATATTTGGAGTTTATCCTCATTGCGAACCTTGGATTTAGACAGAAACAATTTTCATAGCCTGCCATATGGCGTCAGTCATCTATCCAAGCTAGAAAACCTTTCGTTGGAAGACTGCACAAGTCTTCAATCTATCTCAAATCTTCCCCCTAATTTACTTGTCTTAGATGTTTGTGGTTGTGCATCACTTGAAAAAATATCCGATCTATCAAAATTGAAGAATCTATTCGTGAGGTTCAGTAACTTCGAATTTGAAGTTGTGCATATTCTCTTAACGGCCGTGCTTCAGGGCCCGAAAACAGGGGGCTCGAATGCCCCGTATTTCCACTTCAGGTAAAAAAAAAAAAAAAAAAGAAAAAAGAAAGAAAAAAAGAAAACAGTTTCCAAAATTAGAAATTAGGGGCATTAGGGGCAAATTTTTTAGGGCCACCAATCATTTTCCATTCTCTTAAATCGTAAGAGGGATGGAATGGAAGATCCTCACTGTTTTAAAGGTGCACAAATCATTCCCTTTGGTAGGCACAAGCTCAACAATTTACGACATCTCCATCAGGTCTCTCTCTCTCTCTCTCTCCCTCTCTCTCCCTCTCTCTCTCTCTCAAGTGCAACAATTTAACAAAAAAAAATCTCTCTAAAAATATGTGTGAAACCAATTTATTTTAGATGTAACCTATATAATACCAAAAGTGGAGGATTCCATCCAGTCTCAGATTATTTTATCGGCTATTTCGTGTATTTGTGTATTTTATTCAAAACAAAAAAATTAAATTGATCTAACAATTATAATATATTCAATTTATCAAATTTGTCACACAAAAAAAAGGTGACCATTGTGTTTTTAAAAATAAACTATATTTTTTTGATGACAAGCGCAATAAATTAAATAGGTTAGATTATCAACTTAATTTTTGTGGAAATGAAATAAATGAAGTGTCCAACAAAATGAATAATTCAGATTATAGAACAGAACCTATGGTGGATTCCATGGACCTGAACAACACCAGTGGACTAGAGAGGAGTTGCCTATTAGAGATGGAAAATAATATCTTACTCTTACTGAATTTTTCATTCAAAATTTTTTACTTGAATGATGTGGCAATAACAATTTTAAAAGTAGGATTCACTAGTTTTTTCATTGTTTTTATTAGCTACATCATAATATATTAGACGATTATATGTCACATGTTTATATCATCTTTTTATATCACCAACCTACTTGGAAAGATGTCATTTGTTTGCATTAATTTGTTAATAATCATCTTCAAATAAGAGAATTAATCATAAGAAACCATATAGACGGTGACACAAAATAATGATAAATAATCGATCATATATAGCTTTTCTCTATGACAATATGTTATTTGTTTTCATTAATTTCTTAATAATTATTTCTAAACAAATGAGCTAATTATAAATATTCATGTATATAATAATACAAAACAATGATAAAAACACATCTGACATATATAACATTTATTTTTTTCAAATATAAATAACTTTGATGAGTCTTTTAATATTAAATGATAAAATTAAAACTGGCCACTGTATTAATTTGATGCAAAAAAAAAAATTCAAACAAGATTATGGGGATACAGAATAAATAACACAACCTAATCTTAATCATACATGTCACATAAAAAGAGTGGGACTTATCATAAAAGATACAGTTTCACTCTCAAATTATTCTGCCTACATTTTATGATGTTGATTTTGTATTCGCAAATTTATTTTAGTTTTTTTTTTCCTTGTCTAGCACTCTACTAATTAGAAATTCATATGACAGCATCTTCGTGACAGGGAGTTCCCTAGGAAGTTCCTCCATCGAATAACAGGGCATTCTTTGATAGAAGCGCTAACAACGCCGCGGATATATGACTACAATTCAAGTTTCAATGTGGGAGTTGCTTTTTATAGAGCTGGGGATGAAGAAAGTTGCTCCATGGAATTAGATGATTATCCATACGCCATTATTACTGATAAAATTACTAAGAAAATTCCTAATAAAAATGATGACATCAGTTTTACTTGTACCCCAACCTTGTTCTTTGTCATCCCTGAGAGTAGTGGAGATTATGTTTGGCGAACCCATATAGAAGTTGAAGAATATATTGGGTATAAAGTTAAAGGTGGTGAGCAATTCGAGGCTTTTATCATGCCTTCACTTTCTGGAGTGGATCAATCTGGGATAAATATGTTTGTCCATCACAACAGAGGCAACACCATTACCTTCCATAGATTGAGTGGTTTATTGGAGCCTTCATATGGATACGGGAGTGATTATCCTAGTCCTCCTAGAGACGACGAAGGATAATCAAGAGGGTTGTTTTGGGAAGTAGTAGGGGTGTTCAAGAAACCGATTCACCCGACTCGAAAAATCACTTAACGGACAGTTTAGTGCAAATAAACTGTCGGCTGTTATAATAACCCTGGTCTGTAATGTGCTATTAATTATTACTTATTACGTGCTTAAAGTGAACTTCTACGTTAATTGTGGGTTTAATATGATTATTGACTGCATATTTGTTAGCTATAGAAATATCTGTTGTGAACTTTGACATAAAATGAAAATTGAGGGCCTTAATGGCGACAGAAAACGAAATTGACTAAGCCAATAGGTCCATTTGAATATTTAGAATCTTATGGTAAATTTAATTAGAATTGGATTCGGAACCAAAATAATTTGAATTAAACTGAATTAATTAACCTAAGCTAGATTAATTAACCTAATATAATCCAAATATATATAGGCAATATAAGCTTAATGAAGTCATTTTCTCATCCTCTTTTGAGCTAAATACTTGTAGAGAGGGAGTGAGATCAACCCTAGAGAGAGACAAGAGTAAAATAAAGGAAAAAGGGAGAATTTAGGAGATTAAGCTTGCAAGCCACCAAATTCAACTCTAGGTATGAATTCCACCTTCAATTCTTGAATTTAATCCAATTAGGAACTGTAATCAAGTTGAAAACTAAGAGATTGATGGAGTAATTATTGAATCAACTAGAAAATAGTGAGAAGTGGCTTAATATGGGCATGCATGCATCAATTCATCACTTTTAACGCTTGGTTATCAAAATCCATACATGCATGAAGATCATACTTGTTGATTTTGAGAATATTCCATGAATTCTACTCAATTGTTCATATTTAGACTTTTTTGGGACCATTGAAGTAGACTTCCTTGCATGCATAATTTCATTTTGAAGTTTTGAACTTGATATTAAAGAATTAACAAGGTTTTAAGCTTTGATTTTGCAAATTGATCTTAAATTCATGATTTTGAATAGTTTCTCAGTATTTTTCTAAGTTAAGAATGAGCCATGCAAGTTTAT